TATAATTATCACATTGATGTGCTACTTCAGCCTGCTGAGTTGAATAGAATGAATTTCAGGTATAATTTAGCATTACATAGCCCAAGGGTATTTCAGAAAACCATCGCCAATCCTTATTTTGTATATTTGTGTCTGTGAAAATCCTCAAAGCCACCAAGATATTCTTTGACCTCTCACATGTGTTTCAAAGACAACTATTTGAATAAACTCTGCATTTGCCATTACCAGCACAGCAGTATGTGAACAGTAAATATGTAAATGAAATTCATGATTCTCCTATCATTATAAAACCCATTTTCAGATGTTTACTTAAATGGCCATAGATACAGAAACAGGAACGACTAGAGGAAAAAAAGAGGCTCAATTTTTGTTTTCAAAACTGTCTCTTTTAGTTTGGTGAACACTAAATTTCATGTTATCTTTAAATCATGTCTTGGAAAGCTTATAAAGCCCACCTGGAATGTGCAGTAAAGACTTAAAAAGAGTCATTTGGGATTCACAAAAAGTATACAAATAAGACATGTGAAAAGATGATTATTCAATTTTAAAAACCTTTGGTTCCCAACTTTCAAAATCATTTAAAGAAATGGTTTTAAGAAAGTAAGACAACCGGAAGGAACCAGGGTTTCTCTTTGTAATGACACATATGTGCTGAATGACATTTCCTGGAACTATGTCCCACCACATAACCATCCGTGGACCAGGGAGAATGTGCTTGCTTACAAGGGAGAAGGGAGGTGGGTTAGTATTGAGTATGTTGTTGTTGTTGTTAATTACCGTCAACATGGTTCTGACCCATGGAAAACCTGTATATGATTTCTGAGGAGCAGCTGGTGGATTTGAACCGCCAACTTTTGAGGTTCAAACTGACCTCGCAGTCCAGTGCATTATTCTGCAGCACCAATGTGGTGCCCTGGGAAATTCAGCTTAGCTCCCTTTTCTACTCACTGGACTGCAGCCCTGGAGCAAATCACATCAGGTTGGTGCCTTGAGGAGTGCTGAGTTCAGGCTGCTCTGCTCTGTTCCTGCGGGCTTTAGTTATGGTCAGGTGTTCTGAAGCAGCCAATTGCAGGTGAACTTTTGAAAAGCCTGAGATTCTAAGTGTTAACTGAGAGCCAAAACAGCTTGTGATGGCTCACTTTGGTATATGTGTATTAAATATATGCAAACATGTTGTTTTTGTTAAGTGCTGTCAAGTTGGTTCTAACACATAGAGACACTGTGGAGTTTACAAGGAGTGGCTGATGGGTTTGAACTACTAACTTTGTGGTCAGCAGTCCAAGGCTTATCTTACATTGCCACACCAGGACTCCACAGAAGCATATGTACTGTATATAATATGGTATTCTCACGATATCCAAATGACACAATTTCCTATTTCCCAGCATACTTTGGATGTTAAGTAACACATACTTGTACCTGATCTTGATGCAATGAATAGAAAATGTGTGTTTTGCCATTGCTGTCTTCTTGGGTGATTGATGGTGTGTGTTCCTAGTAACACAAATACTTATAATCTGAACTGGATCTATTTAACCTGATCCTTCTTGAAAAGATTTAGTACCCCAATAATTATACCTCATTAACATTAACTTAACTTGTTTGTTTTTATTTGCTTCTTATAGATACAGATATGTATCATTTAAATTGTGCCATCTTGTTGGTGTTGTGATGAACAGAAACAAACAGGAATAAGATGGTCATATGGTGGCTGTGTGCCGTGGAGTCAGTTCTGACTCATAGCGACCCTGCACAGGGTTTCCAAGGCTGTAAATCTTTACAGGAACAGAAAGCCTCATCTTTCTCCCACGGAACAGCTGGTAGTTTCAAACTGCTGACCTTGCAATTTGTAGCCCGATTTGTAACCACTAAGCTACTAGAGCTCCTTAAGATGGTCATATAGTTTATATCTTATTGAGTATACAGATATCATTGAAAGATCACATGAATGGTACTGTGAGGATAAGAGAAAAAGTATCGCTACTAGTGTTCTAGCTCATACACGCCTGAGTTTATTTCAAACAAAACGTTTGAAATAAACTCTGTAATTAGTAGGTGACTGTAGAAGAGTTGTTTCAGTAATACATTTGTCTTAGTCTCATTGTTGTTGTTAAGTGCCATTAAGTCAGTGCTGAATAATAGTGACCATGTTTAGGGTTTCCAAGGAGTGGCCTTGGTTTGAACCTCTGACCTTGTGGTTAGCAGTCCAGTGCTTATCCACAGAACCATACCAGGATTCCTCTTAGTCTAATTGTTGTTGTTGTTAAGTGTTGCTGCATTGGTTCAGACTCTTAGTGACTCTATGCACAATCGAACAAAACACTGCCCTGGCCTGGACCATCCTACAACTGTTGTTATACTTCATCCCATTGTTTCTGCCACAGTGCCAATCCATCTTATTGAGGGTCTTTCTCTTTTACACGGATCCTCCTCTTTACCAAGCAGGATGTCTTTCTCCAGGGAAGGGTCTGAAGTACGACAGATGAAATCTCACCATCCTCACTTCTAAGGGGCTTTCTGGCTGCACTTCTTCCAACACAGATTTGTTTGTTCTTCTGGCAGCCCATGGTGCTTTCAATATTCTTCTCCAACACCATAGTTCAAATTTATTAATTATTCTACAGTCTTCTTTATTCATTGTACAATTTTCACATGCATATGAAGTTATTGAAAATACCGTGGCTTGGGTCAGGCACAGCTTAGTCCTCAAACTGATATCTTTGCTCTAGAACACTTGTTCTATAGATTTGTCTAATGCAATGCATTGTTTGATTTTTTTACCACTACTTCCATGAATACTGATTGAGGATCCAAGCAAAATGAAGTCTTTGACAACTTTAATCTTTTCATTTATCATGATGTAGTGGAGTTCTGGTATGGTGCTGTAGGATAAGCACTTGATCACAAGGTTACTTTGAACAGTAAGGTCGGCAGTTCAAAGTCGCTACATGCTCCTCAGAAACCCTATACTTGATCGCTATGATGACACTTAACCATAACAACATATATTGATCTAATTGTGAGGATTACTGCATTCTTTATGCTGAGGTGTAAGCCATATTGAAAGCTATGGTCTTAGATCTTCATCAGTAAATATGTTAAGTCCTCTTGACTTTCAGCAAGGAAGGCTGTATTATATCACAGGTTGCTAATGAGTCTTCTTACAATCCTAATATCATGCTCATCTTCATATAAACCAGAATCTCAGATTATTTGCTCAGTATACAGACTAAGTATGGTGAACAAATACAATCTTGGCACACACCTTTCCTGATTTATAACACTCAGTATCCCTTTATTTTGTTGGAACGACTGCCTCTTGGTCTATGTACAGGTTCCTCATGAGTGTGATTAAGTGTTCAAATCCACCAGTCACTCCTAGAATTGAGTACGTGGTATCCCAGAGAATTCAGCTTAGCTTTCTTTGCTACTCACAGGGCTATAACCCTGGAGCAAGTCACATTGGTGTCTTGGGGAGGTGCTGGTTTGAGGGTGTTCTGCCCTGTTCCTCTGGGCTTTAATTCTGGCCAGGTGTCCAGGAGCAGCAGCTAATTGCAGTGAATAAGGAAGACCATAGAAGAATTGATGCTTTTGAGTTATAGTTACTGGAGGAGAATATTGAATGTGCCATGGACTACCAAAGGAACGAACAGATCTGTATTGGAAGAAGTGCAGCCAGAGTGCTCCTTGGAGGCAAAGATGGCCAAACTTAATCTTTCATACTTTGGACATATTGTCAGGAGGAACCAGTCGCTGGAGAATGGTATCATGTTTGGAAAGATAGAGGGTCAGAGAAAAAGAGGAAGACTCCCAGTAAGATGGATTGGCAATATGTCATCGACGGGCTCAAGCATGGCAACAATTGTGAGGTTGACCCAGGACCGGGCAGTGTTTAATTCTGTTGCACATAGGGTTGCTATGAGCCGGTACCGACTCGATGGCACCTAATAACAACAACAACAAATAAATTGGAATCTACTCAATGGCACTTAAAAAGAACAACAAATAAAATATCTATTTATAGATCCCACATCTATACACACGTCCAAACTCAGATTCTATAATTACTACAATTGTGGTGGATTAAGAGGTCAGATTCTGGGGTTAGACTCTCTCAGTTTACTTGAATCTCTGTTCTGTCACCTATCAGCTGTGTGGCCTTGGGCAAATCGCTTTATAGTTTCTTATCACAGTTTCCTCATCTGTAAATGGAATTATAATATTACCTGTCTCACAAATGAGTTCAATACAAAACAAAACAAAACAAAACAAAAAAGTGCTTAGGATAGTGACCAGCATGTTCTAGCTATTATTATTAGCTACATCCACATAGCTATTCACAAAGTACATCAGATTCAGTATGTTGGGTTTTCTTCCAGTGTTTCTTACCAGATTAAACTGTAATCCACTATGTTGATCTTATTCACTGCTCTATTCCCAGTAGTCAGCAAGGTCTAAGATCTTTTGTTTTGTTTTGTTTTGTTATTGTTGAGATCTTCAAATTTTTATTTTGTGACAAAATTAGATGAGGAAGATCAAAAGCTGCAAGAGACATCACCAGGGACTGGGGCATCATCTGGAGAATATGGAGGATGGGTACCCAGAGCCTCTGAGATGCCTATGGAAATCCAGAGCTGCTCCCATGCCCACAAATGCCCTGGTTGCCTCCTGGAACACCCTTGGGGATCCAGAGAGGCCAGTTTAAGAACTACCACTCAAGGCCCAGCTCTCATGTACAAGAAGGCTGAGGTGTTCAGGGCTAGTTCAGACAGTGGTCTCAACCTCTGCGGCCTCCACCTTTAGCAGGTTGTAGGAAGCGTGGCTCTGACAGGGTCGTTGCAGTGGGTAAGCCAACAGCTTGGCCAGGCAGGTGTGCAGCTCTGGGGCCATCCCGGCCAGTGCTACCTCATACTTGTAACTTGTGCCCTTGGTATTCAGTCTGCCCATAACGCAATCATGTCCTTCCAACTAATTTCCTCCTCCTTCTCATAGGCACGGTTATGGATGTAAACAATATCAAAGAAGAAATATGGGCATCGGAACATTTTCTTCAGGGCTCCGTCAGGGAGAACTGGCAGGCTGGTAGGCTGGACGGCTGTAGACAAGGTGGTGCGAAACACATATGGGGGCGGGATTGTCCGTACGTTCTCTGTGACTGGCAGGCCCGTCTTCAATTGGATGAGGCTAAAGAGACCTTTGAGATTGAATTTGGAGCAGAAGGCGGTCTCCAGGTCATAGCGGTAGCTGCACAGTTCCCGGGTATTGGAAGGCAGGCCTCACAGCCAGGTTGTGTCATCGTTCACCACCGAATTCATGACTCTTGCAGAGCTTGTGTTTGGTATGAAAGAACATATCAGTCATCTTCTGGGAGATGTTGAGGGCATTCGTTTTACAGACATTGAATGACTCCAGCTTTGGCAGTGTTTCCCTGACAGGTCTAGACAGATGATCACCTTTTCGGGACAGTTGACCCTGGGCATCCACACCTGGACCTCAGGGGCTGGTGGGGGCACCTGCCAGGGCTTGGGTTCAGCTCCTGGTGTGTTGAGGGTCCCATCATCAGCACTGGCTGCCTCACCTTCACCCTCACTGTAGCTGCCCATGCTGGTCTGAAATGAATGAGTATATTGGTTTTCTATTGCTTCTGTAACAAATTACAAGTTTAGTGGTTTTAAACAACACAACTTTATTCTAATAATTCTGGAGGTCAGAAGTTCAAAATCAAGGTTTTAGCTGGGCTGCTTTTTTCCTGTAGGTTTCAAGAAAGAACTGGTTTTCTTGACTTTTCCAGCTTCTAAATGCTACCTGCATTTGTTTGTTCCTGGTCTCTTATCCTCAAAGCACATAAGCACATCACTCCAATCTCTGATTCCATCATCCTATCTCCTTTTTTCTTTTCTTTTCTTTTATTTGTTTTCACCCTGTTGCATTCCTCTTTAAAGAGCCCCTGGGATAATCCAAGATAATCTCTACATCTCAAGATCCTTAATTTAATCATATGCACAGGTTCTAGGGATTAGGATATAGACATTTTAGTGATGGCATTATTCTGTATACTATTAGAGTAAGGAGCCCTGGTGTAGTGGATTACATGTTGGATTGCTAACCACAGGGTTGGTGGTTTGAATGTACCAGTAGTGCCATGGGAGAAAAAGAAGACTTTCTGCTCCAGTAAAGATTTACAGCTTCAAAAACCCTACAGAGTCACTATAAATTGGAAACTACTAGTTGGCACACAACAACAACAACATATTGAATAGAGGATATGTCATCCTTTAGTTTTCCTCTCTGATCATGTCTTCTTGTTAAGTGCTATCAAGTTGGTTCCAACTCATAGTGACCCTGAGGAGCAACTGGTGACTTTGAACTGCTGACCTTGTAGTTCACAGTTCAGTGCTGATTGTACAGCACCACACCAGGAATCTAGAGCTCCTTGTTTCTCATAACTAGTCCTGTTAGTGCTGTATGTTTCACCTCTCTGTTCCTATTATTGGTGCCTTCCCTTCTTCTATTCAAATTTCTCTACTAGCCATGTGCAGGTTCCTCAGCTCCAGTCTTTCATCTGATCAAACCAGGTTTCACTTTGCTTCTAGAATGTTCTTTCTAACCCTCTTAGATTTTATTAGTTTGTTTTACATGATTTCAAAAAAACCACAGAATACTACCTGAAAATCTTAGCATGGCTTTTATCATTTTCCATAATCTGGCCTCAATCTTCCTTTTATCAAAAAGTTAGTCTCCTAATCTCAATTTATGGATAAGGCACAGAGATCTAGATTATTCCATATTCTTAACATCCATGAGTAATATTTACTCCTGATATTAATTTGTAAAAAGACCTACCTTCCATCTTGATCAATTCTTACAAAACATCTGTTCTCAAACTTTACCCAATGTCTTAATTTTGGGCTTATTACTCCTTCTTCTATATCTTCACAACAATTTATTTATAATTCTAATCAAAATATAACAAATTATAGCATGACTTGTATTATAATTAAATGTAAATGTTTCATTCTGCTTTTCCCACAAGATTATAGGCTCTTTGAGGATGGAGTCAATTTTTTAGGTAACTTGCTTTCTCTCACTGTGACAAACATATTTTGTAATTAGTAACCACAAGTTCAACAGTTCAAACCCACCAGCCACTCTCAGAAACTGTATACAAGGTCACTGAGTCAGAACCAACTTGATGGCACACTACAATAAACAACAGATTATTTTGAAAAATTAACTGTGCATTAGGAAATAATCCTTGAGTGGCATGCACACATAAAGTTGCTTGAAAGTCAAAATGTTGCAAAAAATAGTTAATGTGACTTAATGCATTAGAGAGAATTCAGTAAATCACAAGTACCCTATTTTTGTAGTGTTTAGGTCAATAATTCTCTACCCTTTGGCTGAAGAATTTGCTCTGATATCCAACATTTCATGACCTAAACACATCAGACTTTCTGTGTATACGAGGTTAAGTAAAAAACAAACAAACAAACAAAAAAACACACATATATATATTTATATATTGCTACAAAGTCACAGAAACATTTATTTTAAAAAATCAAAATGTGAAGCTATTGTTTTGGGCACATCCTCCATCTAGGACTATACTTTTTTTAAGTGGCATTTTCATCTTTCTAACCCATCTCCAAAGAATTCTTTTCTCTTTGATTTACACCATATCACAATGGCAGTTTTGGCATCCTTGTAGGACTCAAACTGTGTTACTGTTAAGTGATCTTTGAATTTTGGGAAAAAAAATAAATCTGAAGGGGCAAGGTAAAGTTTCTCACGGTAATTCTTGAAAGACACCCCTTGCTACTCTGGAAAAATGAGCAGGTGCATTGTGGTGATGGGAAAAAATTCCTTGGTGCAGCTATCCTGATATTTTCTTAGCAAACCATATTCAAGTATACTGCTGAGACAAGTTCTGTCTGTAGTCACTCACTAGTTGTAGAGACATGAGGCTGTCTGTGCTTATAAATATTTACAGTCTTGGAAATCATAGATAAGACTGCCCTGAGTCAGAAAAGACTAATTCTGAGTGGAATTGGGTTTGGGGTATTGTTACCAAGTAGGAATCAGTTATAGAGGACGGGCTTATTGCTAGGTACTTTCTACAGAAAGAGATGTACTATAAGGCATTAAAACAGTTTACAGGATTACAGACTCAAAGTTGAGCTTTTATCATAGTTCTCATAATAAAAAGCTCTCCCTTAGAACTGAGAAACCAGGAGATGTGCTGACATTTCAATGCTCCAGAAGTCAGTTGTAGAGTGTAAAGTAAACTCTCCAGCTGCCTACTTTAGAATCATGCCACCACTGGCACTACTACAACCAACAAGCTTCAAGAACTAGGAAGCAATAACTATTGCTGCCAGCTCAGAACCACACTGTGCCTGTTAACTACACTAGCAAAACAGATGCCTCATGCCCTGCATTTTTAGCTTCTCAGTTTGGGTAGCAGAAGATGACATACCAGAAAAAGATATGAAATGGAGACTAAAAGTGTGTCTACAATGTTCCCCACCTCTTCTGGATTTGAATATAAGAAATGCCATAATGAGTCCATTTAATGCATTACTTTGACTCATGTAGTATAAACCAGAGAAAATTATGGAAGCTCTCTATATAACAGGGATAACCATCTTTTTAACAAATCATGTCATGTGAATCACTGTTAAAATTTTCTAATTGGAGTTCTGGTGTGGTGCTGTAGGATAAACACGGGACAGCTAACCACAAGGTCATTGGTTCTAAACCACCAGCTGCTCCTCAGAAACCCTATACAGTATTGCTATATATAAATTGTAGTCAACTGGATGATACTTACCAACAACACCAATGACTTCCATTAAACTAAATTCATTGGAACAGTACCATAGAATTCTATGAGATAATAACAAGTCAGAGACTCTACCTATAAAAAAATACACAAGTTCATAGCTGGGAAGACAATGAGTGAAAGCATGCCACCTAAAATACAGAAAAATAGCTTTGCATGGGATCCTCCTGTGAGTAAAATTTAAATGAAATTATATGCAAATGATAAATGTAGAGCTTGATATATTTTAAAAAGTGAACACACATATGCAACCAGTACCTAGTTCAGGAAATAGTTTCCTTCCTGGTTGAATAAGTATGGTAAAAGGATATATCCCTGGCACACATTTTTCCTGATTTTAGTGCTGTAGGATAAGCACTAGACTGCAAGGTTGTTTAAATCATTAGGTTGGCAGTTCAAACTCACCAGCCACTCCTTTGAAATCTATACAGGGTTGCTATGAGTCGGAAGCGACTTGAAGGCACTTAGCAACCACAACATATATAATAGTAGAGTCTTGGTGTGGCACTGTAGGATAAGCTAACCATAAGTTCAGAGATTCAAACCCACCCGTTATTTCTCAGAAAGCCTATACAGGGTCACTATGGGTCAGAAAAACTTGACAGCACTTAACAACAAAAACAGTGACTTGAGGTATCAGGAACTTAAGACCCTTACTGATGAAGATCAAAGGCACTGTATAGGGCTTCTGAGGCTGTAGATTTTTTCAGGAGCAGAAAGCCTCATCTGTCTCTGGAGAAGCAACTGCTGATATTGCGGTTAGCAGTCCAGGTCACTGGGGAGTGGTGGTGGTGGTTATGTGCCTTGGAGTCGGTTCCGACTCATATGGTGGTGGTTATGTGCTGTGGAGTTGGTTCTGACATATAACTACCCTGTATAGGATTTCCAGGCTGTAAATCTTTTCAGAAGCAGAAAACTTGATCTTTTCTCTTGCTGAGCAACTAGTAGATTCAAATGCTGA